TAACAGTCAGGAAATGCTCAATTTCCACCAAGAAGCTCCTGAGGAAATAAAATACATCATTTTCCACCATGTCTATTAGATGTCTCTGTTCACCTTTCTCCCTAAAATTTAAGGGAGATCCCCTGATTTGGCATAATTTCTTACACTGGGATTAAAATCACTCAGAGCTGCTATAAACACAGAGGATCCTGGAGATTGCAGCTTGGCATGGTGACAAATTAACCTTATTAAAAGAATCATTTCAAAAGAAAATCGATCCTGATGATGGGATCAAAGAGAACTTTGGTGCCCCTGTTTTCTGCTCTGCTAGAGTTCTGCTTCATGGCAAGAAGAAACAATCTGTGTGTATGCAGGAATGAATTTGCCACGAAAGCAGGAACTGCTAACTCTGGGTGCTTCCGAACAAATTTGTTTCATGCAATTGCTCCCCTTCCCTCACAGAATTGTGTAGAAGTTTCAGAAGAAGTTTCTAATCATTTCTAACAGCAGTTCCCCATGTTTTTCCATTCCTCCTCCTCCTTGGAATATATGAAATAGCTTGAGGAAGTCTTTTTATTGATAGTGCAAAGAGTCATTTTTTCTGGAAGCATCACACCATCGCTCTGGATCCCGTATGGTCTTTCCTGGAGTAAAGCATGGGGATATAAAGGTAAAGGTCCCCCTTGCACATATGTGCTAGTCATTCCTGACTCTAGGGGGCGGTGCTCATCTCTATTTCAAAGCTGAAGACCAGCATTGTCCGAAGACATCTCCATTGTCATGTGGCCGGCATGACTAAATGCCAAAGGCACACNCGTTTTTTTCTTAGCGCTTCGGACGCCGCGGATTTGCCTCCGCACTTATGTCGGCGCGGATAAGGGCATCGCGGTTTTGTGGTGGAACCATTGCTGATACATAGTACCTCCTGCCTGTTCCCCAGCAGTCCTTGAGCTCATTGACAGGTTGGAACTTCTGGAGTTTTTGGTGCTGGAGACATTCAGTCTCCATTCTGAGGACAAGGATTTCCTGGAATTTCATTAAATTTCATGAAATTCCAGGTCACAGCCTTATGCCAGGTAATTTCAGCCACAAATCAGATGGGATTCAGCCTCCATTCACATTCTTGAATAGATGTTCTCCTGGGCCAATGTTCCACTGAGAAAAGAGGACAACCATCACAGTATAGTGCCTTCCATTCCCAAGCTGCATAGCTTGTCCAGGAACACAGCCTCAACTGATGGTAGTAAAAGCTACTGACAGATTAAGAAGTAGGATAGAGACACTATCTCATCCTGTTTTCATTATATGTCATGAAGAAATGTAGACTATATTTGAACGGAAACCTGACTGAAATAGATCCAGATAAGCTGCTTCCTCTACAGCCCTCTACAAATGCTATCTCACCATCTTCTGAACAACAGAACAATAGTTGTCCAAACTTTTCTGGTCCAAAAATGGCCTCCTGAGGAGAAGATGTCCAGGAAGCTCAAAGAGGCACAAAGCATAGACTCAGTTACAGGTCATCTCCCAGAAAGCTTTGACAACCAAGGAGGATTTTATCAGCTCTATGAAGTAGATCCAATTAAGAAACTGACTCCACAGGAAGACTGTAACTATACTGTCTTGAGAAATAGAGTCTTGCAAGTTATTTATTTTATCTTCCCTTCCTCTTATACCACACTGAATCAAGGAAGAGCCAGCCTGTCTCTTCCTTACATGTAAGCTTAAGGAAAGCTTCTACCCTTGTTTCTGTTAATGGTTTCCAAATATTCTCTTCAAGAATAATTCAAGGGGTCTCCAGAGACAATTTTCAGCAGATGGCTGAACTCAAGGTTTGAAGGATCCTGTCCTCCTCATTGGGAATCAACAACTCAACCTCATTCAAGATAATCCAACAAGATTGAAACTAGTCTCAGCTAAACTTGCTCTGTCAGAGTGCATCTCCTATCAACCAGATAGAATATTCTTCACAGATATCCCAAAGATGATGCTGACCAGGGCTCAATGCAATATAAGAAAATGTCCACAAACCTACAAAAACCTAACCAATCAAGCAAATGTAGTACCCCTTATTTCCTCATGGCAATTTAAAACAATACTTATGAATGCAGGCAACAATTAACAGGAAATCTACAAATACTTTTACATATTAACAATGAATCCATAATCTTTAATCATGCCAAAATAATCTGAATGCTATTCAAACACAGTGTTAACCCTTCAAGGTAAACCAGACCAAAAAACCAAAATCATGCAGACTAATACTGCTTTTATTACAATGTTATTATAAAAGAATCTTGCAAGATGAATATATTCATCAGAAGTATGGAGGGTCTTATCTGTGATGCCTTATCAGATTAAAGTTCTGATTTGGATTCAGACTTCTTTTATCTGACCATTGTCTTAGTAGTGCTTCTTCCTTCTGCTACTCAAGGTTATTCCTTCTTCCCCATTAGGATGCTACCTACTTCAATAATGTCTTAATAAAAATGTTATCTAGGGTTAAAAATCATTTTATGATGTGACATCATAATGCCATCAGTTTAATGAAAACATGTCTAAGCCAAAAGTTATAACAGAAATACAAACAATCCTAACCAAAACAGGGATAAAACAAAGTAATGATGTCTTATGGGCATATGAAGATAAGCTTCTAATAAGGGGAAGTTAACTCTAGATGACTGAAGCTGTAAACATGCCAGTGTCTATATTTAAATGATTATTATGTAGGCATTCATTCAAAACAGCTTAGATATAGTCAATGGCTCTTTATTTAAGATACATTGGATAGCAATTTAGTTACTAACAATTTTTAACTGTTATAATCGACACACCAAGGTTTGTTTCATTCATCTAGACCAGTGGTTCCCAAAGTGGGTGGTACCGCCCCCTGGGGGGCAGTGGGATGACTTAGGGGGGTGGCAGGGGGCGCTAAGAGGCAAGGGGGGGTGGGAGTGGGTGCTAAGAGGCAAGGGAGATGGCAGAGGAGTGCTGGAGGTGGTTCCCTCACAGGGCGCAATTTTGCCTAGGGCTCTGTTGGCCTCCAGTCAGCTGAACACTTCCAGCCTGGTTCCCTCGCTGATCTCAACCACACAGCCCAGCAGATCTCTGCCCAGTGAGTCTTTCTTTGCTTCTATTCTAGCTACCTTCCCCACGCCCCAGTCAAGCTATCTATTCTTTTCCCAAGCTATTTTCCTGTGTCTGGGCTCTTTCTTTTTTTCTAAACTATTTCCCTCTGTCTGGGCTCTCCCTTGCAGAGCTGAGCCTAGCATTCAGTTTAAAATCCAGGGCGGGGGAGGGGGCAACAGGGCAGCCAAGAGGAGGGAAAAGGTTTTTCTTTTTTGCCAAGCTATTTCTTTTTTCACAAGGAGAGGAGGAGGGAGGGAAGCAGAGAGGGAGGGAGAGAAAGAGAAGGAGAAAGGAAGTCAGAGAGAGAGAGAGAGAGAGGAAGAAAAGGAGGAAGGAAGTGAGAGGGAAAGAGGGAAAAAGTGAGAGAGGGGAGGAGGGGGAAAGAAAGTAAGAAGGAGGAAGATGGAGAGAGAGGAGAGTAAGAAAGGGGAGTGGGAAGGAGATAGGGAGAGAAAGGGAGGAAGGAGGGAGGAAGGAGGGAGGAAGAGAAAGAGAGGAAGAGAGGAAAGGAGAAAGAGGGAGAGAGAAGGGGGAAAGAGGGAGGAAGAGAGATGAGAGAGAGACAACTGAACTTTACTTATGAAAAGGTGTTAATTATGTCAATGGAAGANCTAATAAAATGAAATTCAATGGTGAAAAGAGTAAGGTTCTACATTTAGGCAAGAAAATACGCAGGTATATTATAGGTGGTATCTTGCTCAATAGTAGTAATTGTGAGAGGGATCTTGGAGTCTAGTGGACAACCATTTAAATATGAGTCAGCAGTGTGCAGCAGCTGCCAAAAAACCCAACACAGTTCTAAGCTATATAAACAGAGGGTTAGAATCAAGATCACGTGAAGTGTTAATACCATTTTATAATGCCTTGGTAAAGCCACACTTGGAATACTGCTTACAGTTTTGGTCGCCAAGATGTAGAAAAGATATGGAGACTCTAGAAAGAATGCAGAGAAGAGCAACAAAGATGATTAGGGGACTGGAGACTAAAACATATGATGAATGGTTGCAGGAACTGGGCATGTCTAGTTTAATGAAAAGAAGGGCTAGGGGAGACAAGATAGCAGTGTTCCAATTTCTCAGGGGTTGTCACAAAGAAGAGGTAGTCAAACTATTCTCCAAGGCACCTGAGGGTAGAACAAGAAGCAATGGGTGGAAACTAATCAAGGAGAGAAGAAACTTAGAACTGAGGAAGAATTTCCTGACAGTTAGAACAATTAATCAGTGGCTTGCCTCCAGAAGTTGTGAATGCCCCAACACTGGAAGTCTTTAAGAAGTTGTTGGATAGCCATTTGTCTGAAACGGTATAGGGTTTCCTGCCTAGACAGGTGGTTGGACTGGAAGACCTCCAAGGTCCCTTCCAACTCTGCTATTGTATAGTAATGTATAGATTATAAAAGTCAGTTGACAAAATTCAAAACCAATGCAAAGAAGATCTTCTAATGTCATAAAATGGCATAAAAATCAAGCACATCAATCTAATAAATGCATCACCAATCATCTCACCTTATTTGGTTTCCATTGGAGACTTTGGCATTTCGACAGACTCATGTGGAGATAAGAGGTCCTCTATAAAAGTTGAGCAAAATTTTAGTTCTTGTGAAATAAAGTCAATGCCGTGAATAGACTCCTTGTGTAATATTTATAATTGTTTGAGCAGACATAAAACTGCAGGAAAGATGGTAAAGCTTTTCAAATTGCTCTAGAATTATCCTTCTAAAGCAAAATATGGAACAAAGATGTTTGGAATTTCAGACTTTATTAGACACTGTACTTTGAAATAAAGTTTCATACTGGAATCACACAGGAAAAATCAGATGGGCTAAGTTGGAAAAGTTATTCAAAACTATTCATCACTTCAATTTTCCTTCTATTCATTTTCTTCAAAAGCTTCTTTATGTCAAATATGAAAAATCCCAGCATCAGATGGAAATTGCTGCCCAGAGAATTGCTGCATGTCATCAGTTAGCGCAGAAAATGTTGGATCATGGCCATGTTGAATCCAGGGAGATTCGAAAGAAGCAGAAACAGTTGAGGTAAGAAAGCATTCTTATATTTTTCCATTATTTTTTCAGTCTGACCTTTTCTTTCAGAAGACAAGGATCAGGAAGCTGTAAAAGAGCCATATGGGGGGAAATATATTCCATGAAGAAGAACATTTGGGTGGCATGTCTACTTTGCTGCAAGATCTAAGATCTTTCTTAAACTATTCAGAATTTTGCAGAAGTGGAAGGAGAAATGTAGATTTGATTTGCAACAATGGATTGTTACATCAATATTTAAATTCATTACTTGTTCTCAACTAAGAGGAAAGGGAGCAGACTTTCAATCAAGCAATATTATAGATAGATAGATAGATAGATAGATAGATAGATAGATAGATAGATAGATAGATAGATAGATAGAT